ACGGTTTAGGCTGCCTAAAATATTTACGGCAATTTTTATTTACGGCAAGCCAAAAATAATTTAGGCACCCATCTATAGTCGGTTGATGCGTTCAAGAAGTCTAAAATATTCCACTTTGAGGATTTGCGGTCGAAGTATTCCATGGCGATAAGTAGAGTACAGAACGCAAAACACGTTATTTATACTGGAAAAAAATCACACATGTGATATCGTAGACAGAAGTTTATCTGATTGGCTGGTTTTTTAGATTTATTTGCAGATACATTAGATACATTGTAGCATTGGTTAAAAAATTACGAATTTACTAATTTCTGCCTCACTTTTTGATTGGCTGTACTATGAACTACCCACCAAAAATTTTCAGTATTAAAATTCTTTATATTAGGGTTAGGGTCTATGCTAAGGTTAGGATTAGAGGAGCTATAATAGTAAAATCGCTCAAGGAAAACTTTTTGTTAGAGCACCAGGAGTGGTTTCTTATACAGATTTTTGAGTTATGGACGTTTTTCGACAAAGTAACGTTTGTTTTGAATTATCCTGATCATGTTACATTACACAGAAAGTGAGACGGAAATTAGTAAATGCAAAAATTACCAGCCCAATATGGGCAAAACTTTTATTAATACATATTATTACTGCCTTCTTGCAATACTTGCGATCTCCTGAAACCTGATGTAAGCATGAGATCAGCGTCAGGTTAAATTTATTTCCCGAGACAGCCAAATATCTGATAGTAGAGTCTGGACATGGTGTCCAGGCTCATCAAAATTGCGCAGAAAAATGAATTAATTACATGGTGCAAATTAGTCATTTTTTTTATTCAAAATCTTATTGGAAGTAGCAAATTATTCTCTGTGATGTTCAGCAAAGTACAGTATTACTGTATTAGTGACACTTAAAATAAAACCCGATATGGGAAATGCTTTATTAATATATGTTTAAAAATGCACGTGTAAAAAAAAATACTATTTTTTCTAATGGCAGAGTCTGGACACGGTGTCCGAGCTTGTCAAAATTGCGCAGAAGAAACGGTGCAGTACACTATCGAACTTTCTTTTTTAAGATTTCAGCCATTACAAAATCCTTTTCATCCTTAGTTAGATTTAAGATGAAACCTGGAGGGGTGGATTTTATTTGTGCTATTTTTTCTTTGCCTATACTATTAAAAAGCTTATAAACCTTTTCAGATCTCTCCACCCTTTTCCGCAAAGCTTCATCAGAACATTTTGTCTCAGGAATTGCTTCTCTAACCTCACTTTTGACTAATGCTTGAGATCTATCCTTACCATGTTCGGGTTTTAATTCTTTGTATTGTTTAAATACAGCTTCCCCAAAATCAAAATAGCTGAAAATAAGACCTTGAGATGCATCTTCGTTTTTAGTTTCGGCATTATCAATCTTATCGGAGAGTTGCAAAAAAATACTGGTTGTGCTTTCATTTGCTTTTTCCAAGTTCTCTTCAATAGTGGGAACAGGTGTATCAGCTAATAATTCTTTAATAAGTTGGGATGTTACTGTAAATGGTTTTTTTAATTCCCTTAATCTGGATTTATAAGCGGACATTATTAAGTTACCCGATTTTTAATCTGGATTATATCCGGCTATATTATATATTCCAGCGAATTTATAAAATTTAATCCAAAAGTATTTACTATGGTTCCCATTGTATCATAACAATAATTAGTTAAATAGCATAATTATAAAAATATAAGATATAATTTAAACTTGATTATCAAAGTCAAGACTTGATCGCATTTGAATCTCGTAGTGTAGTAGTGAGACACGGGGCGATTACAGATCAAAATTTATAATGAAGCTTTGAAATTCATGATTTTGATCGATTGATCAATAATTTTTATGGATTGAATCCAAAATTGAAAACAGCAGAGGCCGTTAATGTTACACATATATTGAAACTGGCGAGGGATTAAGCTTATATCCATCACAATTGAATCCAACATAAATAATTTAATTTGTGATTGATCACAGGTGAGAGGAATTCACTTTGGATCGGGCACTGTCTCTGCTGTTGTTTTTGAATTCGGCCGAATAATCATTGGTAAATTTTTATCAGCTGTCCTAGAATTTGAGAACGGCTGTAATGTATGTTATCCGATAAAAACCCGGATTTATTATCCACTTTTCAAAAAGAATATCTGTTATACCCGAATATATCAGATTTTGTAAGCCGATTCCAAGCTCTATTCTTATGTATGGTCGCTATATAATTAATTAAGTGTACGTACTCAGTTTGCTTGTATCCTGTTGGCTGCCAAAGATAGTGATTCCTTAATTGTTTTGTATGCTAATACGTATTCTTAAAGATTAGCCAAGATACCAACCTGTATTATTCTAAATATATTAAGTTGTTTGCATATTGTTCACACGTAATAATAACAAATTATTAATTACTAATTTTCGAATTCTCACTTTTTTGAGTACTTCGCTTTTAAAATTTTTGAATATTAAAATCAAAGAATTGTAATTGATATATAATAATAATAGCAATTATATATATGCATGTTAGCGATAATTTTATAGTTTAGATAGAATAGTTTCTTAGTATATTTTTGAAATAAATGAGCAGGGCGTAAAAGATAATTTATTTATAATATAAATATAAACATGAATATGTATATATAGTAAATAATAATATAAAATATAAAAAATATCTTATTTTGTGTTATTTATAGCTGCATTGACGAGCTCAGTAATATCATAATCAAGTTCGTCTTCAGCTTCTATAGTATTATCATGATTTGTTTCATTTGTTGGTTCTTTAGCAAAAAGATTAAAATCGATTATTTCCTTAATTTCTAAATTCTCACAATCCAACTGTCTAATTTCGTCTAAATTATCTTCATCAGAAATATAATCTTCATCAAGTTCTTCAATATTGGTATTGAACATATCATCATCATATTCAATTGAATTTGAATAATTTTCCATTACTTGTTCAAATTCTAACTCTGAAATATTATTCGCAACATAATTTAGTTCACTTTGAGCATTAGTCATATAATATGTATGTAGTTTCGCAATGTTTGATACTTTTTCTACAGTTAATCTATAAAAATATAAATATATTAAATATATAATAAATTATTAATATGTAGAATTAAATTTAAAAAATAAAAGTCTAAATGTTATCGTTATATGTATTAGTTAGATTCAAAGAAAAGATATTGCTATATTTTGTAGAATAAAATACCCGAAGGTATAAAAAAATTTACCGTAAACTGCTATGTAAAAAACCCTTCTGGACATTAGACCCCTATGTATTATACCCGGGTCTATAATATGGAATAAAAGTTTTGGTAAAATGTAAAAGACCCGGGTATATTTATAGGAAAGTACTAAGAAAATAGAATAAACCCTTCAATTATCAGGCCCGTGGGTCTAATTATAGGTTTTAAACTTGGTAAAATGAATTAGGCCCGGGTTTTGTATATGGCAGTTTACAATAATTATGCCTAGGTACTATATTAGGAGAGCACTGTAATTGAAATATGTACTATGTATTGTTAATAGGTAAATTATGAGGTTCATCATCTAATTATGCATAATACGTATCCCGATCTTTTACATCAAGATTACCAAAAAAAAAAAATAGGGATATTAGACGTATTAAGGAATATTTTAT